GGAAGCAAGGGTTCCCTTTCAGACTTTTACCGACACCTTGATCTTTGAGCTTAGTCTGAAAAACCTCCCAGCAGCTTGCAGAAGTGACATGACTATGGGAAGCAACGCAATAAAGCAACGGCAGACCCAGCACACGCTTCTTTTGCTCTCCCCTCTACCAGGGACCCACCTTCACCGGGAGCTGCGCATAGCAATACCTTGAACAACTGCAGAAGCCGAGCCCAGGGAAGGTCCCCAGTCTGAGCTCTAAAGCTAAAGACAACAAAACTCGACCAATGTATTCTTTTAAGAAAACTGGAGACTAAATTGCCCCTGCTCCCACCTTTCTCCAGCCTCTTTTGCCAGACCATGAATCATTGCTGGTACATCCCAGGTAACACATAGTAAAAGAGCAATCACACAGTAATTAGCAGCAGGCGAGACATTTGTCTCAAGCAATCCCCCAAACAACTTCACCCTTCTACACGTAGTAATTTTCTAAACTAACATAAAGCAAATCTTAAGCTTCACAAAGAAGCAGTTAAAAACACTTACAAGTAATAAGCTCCTACAACAACAAAGCCAGGCCACGCTTGATTAATATTTTTTTTTTAAAAAAAAAAAAGAGGCTTTTTTTCTGACTTGAAATACCTGAGGGAGCTTTACAAGCGGAGGGGCTGGGGAGAAAAAGCAACTTTATCACTCGTAGCATCCTACCTGCCTCTCGCCTTAAACCCAGGCTCGGCCCCAGCAGCGTGCCCAGGGGTGCGACACTCGCCGGGGGGGCTGCTTCCGCTCCCCCGGGGATCCTGGGGGGGACGGCCCGGCCAGAAGCAAGGCGAGGTGGCAGGTACGAGGACAGAGCAGCAGCACTCTGGACATCAGGGGCTCAAAAGTCAACACAGCAAACGCCACCAAGCCCCGCAGCAAGGCTCGGTTCCCAGCTGTGATTTTTTTTCCTGGCCGCTGGATTCAGTCAGGGACATGAAGTCACCCATGCCGGGGGCCACAGTTACAGGACAGGCATCCCCTTACCACAGTTAATGCGGTTCCACTTCTCAACATCAACAAGACAAGGACTTGCTTTCACGCCTCCCAGGCTCTAAAGGTCTCTACCCCTCCATCCCTCCCCCAGCACCGGGATTGCTGCCCCACACAGGCTCCCCAGTCCCAGGGAGATCACTCGTTCTCTCTGCCACTGCTTAAGAAAAAGACTAACCCGGGTTTAGCTACTTTGGAGGTGTTTCTGTGAGACCATGCCATGTCCAGGAACAAGAGAAGGAGGCACTCACCATGCAGGAGATGTAGCCATGAGCTCTAGCAGGGCTGCGGCTGCTTCCTCCTGCAGAATTTAGGGATGCGGGTGTGGGAGGGCACTCAGGGCTCTTAGCAGCAGACAACTCTAATCAAGGTCATTAGCACAGGCAAGGAACTATCCCTCATCCCCATCAGGCTTTAGCACGTACCTATCAGACCGATGAGATGTTTGCAGAGTGCTTTGAACACAGGTTGCCAAATCCTGCCCAAGCAGGCGCAGGCACACACCGCGCTCCCACCAGAGCCCAGCCTGCCGAGAAGGGATGAAGACACTTGGTAGGACACGAAACCCCCTCCGGGCACTCTGGTTATTCGGTCCCTTCTCCACTGCCAGCTGAAACACGTTTAGAGAGCAACCGAGGGGGTCTCCAGCATTCTGTGCTTTGCAGCGCAGCTGCAATTTGAAATTCAGTTTATTGCATTAAAAGCTGGTGTAGCCCTAGCGGAAAGAAATAAATATGTCACTTGTCACAGTTCTTCCCATTATCTCTTAGGGGACAGTGAGCTCGGGCTCACACTCACAGAGGGGAGAGTGGGGCTTGTCAGAAAGCGAACAACAGCGCGGCCGTAACCGCAGCATCCTGCTCTTGCCCCAGCAAAGCCAGCGGGGAGGTCCCGTCCCAGCCGCTGCTTCTGGTCCAAGCCATGCTTCCCAAAACCCTCAGCAGAAGAGAGCTTACTTGGGGGATGTTTCTCTGCCCGCGGAACGACAGCCTGAGTAAGCAAACGGAAAACATAAACACCAGGCGGCTGCCAGAACTGCGCTGGAGGCTGGAAGCGAAAAGCCATTCACCTGCCACCGCCTGAGCCGGGGCCAAGAGAAGCCCTCGCACCTCGCTGCTGTTCCTGCAGGGTTTATTAGGGGTGAATAAAACCAAAGAAAAATCAGCAGTTCAAAGGGAGCAGATGAGAGAGGTGTTTCGACTCTGCCTGTATCCCCAGTACGATCCCCAAAGCAGACTCTCACCTTCCTATGGACCTCCGTTAGAGCTGCAGCCGTTCGCTGCTAATTGATTCAATATGCATTTGGACTAGGATTTTTAATTAATTTTATTACAGAAAAATTAATGCACTGCTTCCCCACAGATGCATTAGGATACCAACAGGAGTGGTAGGAAACCAGCCAGCAGCGTGGCATTGGTTGTGACTGCTCGTGAGGAGTGAACCCCCCACCAGCAGTGGGGCATTTCCCATGCAGTCCCTCCCCCCGCTAGTCTAAGGGCTCACACCAAATATTTACCACATTTCAACCGAATTTAGAAATGTACAGGCTACAGAGCAGCAGGAGAGCATCACTCCTCTGCCTCCCCGGGCCGTGCTAACAGATTACCGGGCTCGTTTTCGGTAGCGGCAGGCTCTGACCTGCACAGAGCAGCCCCGTTCATCCCATCACCCTCCCAGTGGGTTCATTTTCCAAGGGACACGGTGCATTTTGGTAGCGACTGTGTTCTCAAGACTCCGTACAGTCCCCAGCGCAAACCAAACGGTACCAACCGTGGGAAAGGACCCGCAGGAGGTGGGCGAGTGCCCCCGGGCAGCGCCCTGCCTGCTTCTGCCCATCTCTGCCCCACATCAGCACCAGCAGATGTTTTCCCTTGCGCCAAAGCTCTCACACCTCTGCCACTGTTTTAGGCACCCGGAGGGACCACCTCATCCTGTTGAGCCATCCTCCACCTTCCCAGAGCAGTGAGCGGGCTTTAAAGGCTGCACAACCGGCACTGTCCCTTCTTCTTCACCGAGCCCCTCATCCTCACAGCCCGCCTCAGCCAGCACCGGGGGGATGCAACAAACCACGTTTTGGGAACACAAGCCACCTCGCAGCCAGCTCTGTCCAATTCACGCAAGGAAGAGTCTCTCTTCATCCCTCCCTTTCCCCAAATCTATTTTATCATTACCCTTCCCTATATATAATGGAGCTAATAAAAGACATATTTACTCTGCTTGGCTTAGGACTAAAGTCAAACTAGAAGTTTTAGCTGTACCACAGCCCAAAGCAGAAATGTCTGCTCTGCAACACCACAAGCATTTCAAAGCAGAGACGAAGAGCATTTGGAGGGTGTTCTATCAAAAAAAAAAAAAAAAACCAAACAAAAACACAGAGCTGGGTGAAATTAAGCAGTTCCCAATATTTGAGATGACATCTCAGAACACAAAAACCAGTGGTGGTGGTGGAAATCATATGTTACTTATATACATTCACACTATGGTATTTATCAATGGCAGAGTATTGGGGGAAGAAATATCATCACTACATCTGCAATATCCAAATTTGAGTCCCTGGAGCCCTGCACTAGTATTGTATTGAACAGCACCCCTGAGGCACGCCGTATTTTAGGAATTTGCAGAGCAGGAATAGGTAGCGCGCCATAAGGTCCGAGACCTTAATCAAGCCCTGCAACTCGATAGATTTCCAATATAAGGAAGACAAAGAGGTGTCAGCTCTAGTTCGTATTTGCTAACACTATCAATAGGGGCTCAGCTCACTAGCAGTTAATTCAAAGCCAAGCTCGATTTGCACAGCAGTGATCTACACTAATTCCCATATGTGGCTAAGGGGAGATTTTGCCAACTAGACAATAGAAACAGTATTACAGCTCCTGAAACGATGCCATCGCTTTTCTCTTCTGCTCCACCACTTCCCCATCAAATTTCCATGTGCTGGAATCTCCAGTTGTCTTCTCCCTTGCATCAGAAGACGTGCAGAAAGGGTAGCAAATACAAAGGTACCTATTTCTTTTCCAGATGCCGCTTTATTGAGGCTTTTAAAACACAACTTCCCATAAAACGGGGGCCAATTCACACTTGGGGTTTTGTGCATTAAAAACACTAAGAATTGCCCTAATTAAGCAGTTATAGAAATGTTTAAGTGACCCAACTGTAACTTAGACTTAAAAAAAAAAAAAAAGAAAATTGCCACATGTTGCTATATTTCGTAAAAGTTTATTAGCCTGCTTCATCCGATACCACGTTTTGCTTGGTTTTGCTTTCAGGTTCTAGTCCACCTCAACACTAGATCAGACTGTTCTGCCAAGATACTATGGTTGTTGAGAAGTCCCAGAAAGCCAGATGTGCTACCCAATTAGGCAACGAAGCCGTTTTAGCCACATTAGAAGCAGTTACTGCCTGTAAGCCTGGCCCTCATTAATCTGCAGTTTGGCTCAAAGGAATGGGTGGCAGCAGCCGGTACCCACAGTTGACACTAATGAGTTACCCTCTTCTCTTAAGTCAGCTGCACCCCGCAGCTTTGACCTGCTATTAACACAAGTATCCTCACACCCCCGTCTCCTCCGCACTGCCAAGCAAACACCAACTGCCAACTACAGCCAGTGCGGGGAAGGAATTCAAGGGTAGGGAGGACGTGCTACAGTTTTCCCAGTTCGTGCAGTTTCCGTGCTGAGGAAAAATGAGGTTCGAGTCACCGGCGAGAGACCTGGTATCACCTCTCCTTTCCAAGGGCTGCAAAGCATCCCCAGCTTGGACCGGGAAAGACGCAGCCAGGGGGTCACCAAAGGGGACGAGAAACCTGCGTTGCTCCCCCCAACCCACCTCACAGCACCCGATTCGTATCAGAACTTGAGTCGCTAAGAGAGAAGACACAGACTAAGTACCTGCGCCACGCTCCTACTTCAGCAGGGAGTGAGCCCAGGCGCCGGGCTCCCGCCAGGAATGCAAATGCTAGAAAAAACCACAAGTCTGAAACAGTGTAACACAGGACAAAAAAGGCACATTTTAATATGTACAGCAATGCATTTGGGCTATAAATTTACCCAACACAACTGAAAAAAAAAAAATCCAAACTATGCTTTTATACTTATTTCATGGTGTCAGCCTCATTCCTAGCCACCTACCTTTCTCTGCATCTCTGAATGCTGCTATATACACACACAAACAAACAATTACGTCATGAATGTTCATTTAGGCTCCCAAGTTCAAGTAATAAAGTTCAAACTTGCATAGCATCTTATGCCACTCAGCCATAAACAGTTACGATTGCATATTAGCTGGAGCAGCCATCTCTTTCAATTCAGCCAGTTTTGGCTGGCCACCATTTATTTTTTTTTTATTTTTCTTTTTTTTTTTTTTAATCCTTGAGTCAGAATGTTGCCTAAGTCACCAGCCCTGAGGGATGCCACAGACTTCAAAATGAACCTCTTGCTGTTGTTAAGATCCTTTTAAACCAGAAATTTAGAGTGTTGTCAAGAACAGTTTTAAAAATGTAATACTGTTTATTTTGCTTCAAAAACATTTCAGCATTCTAAACATACAAAAAAAACAGAACGTTGCAAATTCGTTTAAGTACAGAGTGTTTTTGAACTTCAGTTGCTGCACTGGCTCTTCACTTGGTTGACGATGAAGAGATGTCTACAGTTTCAGTTTAAAAACTACCGCACTTAACTAAAAAAATCCATACACTTCTCATGCCAGCTGAACCCCCTTCCACAACTAAGAATGGCAGCAGAATGCTATTTCACTATATACAGAAAGACAACTTTAAGCTAAATGGACGCCCACTGTAGTGTAAATAGATCTACCCTCACAGTGCATGCTTCGGGCCATGGCACCCCGGGGAACGTACAGCCTTTCCAAGTCATCACTGCTCCTCTAAGGCATCATAACTCTAAGCATGTACCACAAGAATCTGTCTAGTTTTTACAAACTATAGATATGTACAGTTTATAACCCAGGATTTTCTAGCCAATAACCATATAGTAACACCACCTTACAAATTAAAAAAATGCTTGAAACATTTTTAAATGCTTTGTTACACCAACAGCAAAGTGCACAGAGTTAGGAGAACACTAGAGCGCCTTTTCATTTTAAAAATGTTTGGAAATATGTACAACTTTGATACAGTTTCAGGGTGCTCACTACACCCATGGCCACTTCATGTAAACCAGTTACAATTTCTAGAGCACTTTTAGAAACTACAACGCGATCGGAATCCAAATTTTTTTTTTTTTAATTAAGCCTAATAAGGGCAAGAGACACCATCTCAAATAAGAGGTGCTTCATTTATGGTGTTTCCCCTACTCTATGGTATTCACATGGAGACAAGTATTGTACAGTTTTATTCATCATCATCATCTTCATCCTCCTCTTCTTCATCCTCCTCCTCCTCTTCGTCTTCTTCCTCTACCTTTTTCCGAGCAGCTTTGGTTGCTGCTCCCTTTGCGCCATCAAACTTTCCTTTAGACTTGTAGTCTGCAACATCCTGCAAAGTCAAGGGGATGTCTTAATTTGCTCTAAGCAGCAAACACACACAGCATTTGTACAGCAGCGGGCGTGAACGGAAAGGGACTGGCCTTCCACAGCTGCACCCCCAAAAGGGGACAGCCAGCAGCACAGCACACAGGTATGCAGACACCCAAGCGTACTCAGCCGCCTCTGGATGACGGAGACCTTGAACCCTGCGTTCGTGGTTATTTCTCAGAGGAGGAGAAGAGAACCCAGCCTCTCTTAAAAGTTTCCTGCTGGTGGGACAAAGCTCCTTCGACAGCACAGCAAACCCTTTGCTGGAGCAACACGAGCAGCCGCTGCTGCGCATCACTGGGGGAAAGCTCTCCCTCCTCGCCGGAATCCGCCCGTGGCTCTCTAACCTATTCCGTCCCAACGTACGCAACGTTTGGCCATGCTGCGCGCAGCGCAACGCGAACAGGTCTGTAAGCTGGAGATGCTCACGACGCTGGGGCCACCTTAGCTGGGTCTACACTACAGAAACGCATCGACACAAGAGCCGGTACAGAAGAGGCACAAGTGAAAAGTAGCCTTACCTTCTCATACTTCTCCTTCAGTTTAGCTGCCTTATTATTATAAGGCTGCTTTTCACCATCACTGAGGTTGTTCCACATTTCGCCCAGTTTCTTTGCTACATCCCCGATGGATATGCCAGGGTTTGTGGACTTGATCTTGGGGCGGAACTCTGAACAGAAGAGGAAGAAGCCAGACCTTGGGGAGAAGCACCAGAGGACAGTCAGCACTGCAGCAGCACGCCCGGGGAGCACCAACCCCTTCCTCCATCCCTCACCCACAACGTCCACACATGCACTCACAGGCTGAGTAGAAACACTTTTTTTAAAAAAAAAAAACAAAAACCAACAAAACACACAACCAACCAAACTGACCCACAAAACCAAACATATTTTGATTTAACCGAGACCCATGCTTGTAGCCTTCAAAAAATGCTGTTTTTAATCAACTGTTGTCTATCCGCCCCCCTCATCCCCCCAATTTCATCTTAGATACACAAGTCTCACTGTGACCCGGGTCATTTCCATGTCTTCCATCACTGTGAGTTTAAGGGTACCAAGCACTGACAATTCCTGTTTAGTGCTCTACATGCTCAAGATTACAAGCTGCCTAGAAGATTTATGAGACAGTATCAGTACACTATGAATATTACCAATATTGCTATACCAACAGCACACCCCATCTACTTCCTTTACAGAACCCTGTCAGCTGTGTCACAGGGCGTGAAAACAAACCAAAATAGTGGTGCATTTAATGCCTCAAGATTACTTACGGTGGTCGTTTTGGGGCATTGGGGTCCTTCTTCTTCTTGCCACCCTTAGCTGGTCCATAGTCCTTCATTTCTCTATCATATCGTACCTTATCAGCCTTTGCCATTTCATCAAATTTAGCCTTCTCCTTGCTTGACATGGTCTAAAAAACCAAAAAACAAGACACCGAACCTGTGATTACCCAACTGTTCAATAGCTGGCAAACTTTAAGTAAACAAGGCAACACATACCGACTCGATAGGGGAGTTTCAGAATTTGTTTGTTTTCTAAGTGGACCACCTTGGGGACGAAGGTCCTGTACTGGGGACCGCAGCCACCGCTGGCATACTCAGCCAGAGGGAAGCAACGGGAATGGGACAAGCATAGGCAGAGTCCTCCTTGAGGACACAGGCCTGGAGGGAGGTGGCTGCCAAAGGGCACTGCTTGGGAACAGGAAAAAAGGCCAGGCTGTAGTGCAAACGCCGAAACGGGCAGATACGCTGGGCTGAAGCCTTCAGGATTGTTACAGAATCAGCAGCACCCGATCAATGGCCGGGACGCAGGGCCAAGAACAGCACACAGACCAAAACAGCCCCGGCTCCCTTCACATTTGGACACATGCACGTCATCCTAGCAGATAGCGTAAGAAGTTATCCCATCAGGAAGTCACAAATTAAGATACCTTCCACCTCTCCGAGCACTTCTTGGAAAACTCTGCAAAGTTGACTGGAACCTCTGGGTTCTTTTTCTTATGTTCCTCACGGCACGTCTGCACAAAGAAGGCATAGGCAGACATCTTGCCCTTGGGCTTCTTCGGATCACCTTTAGCCATCTTGACTCTGCAGGGAAGAGGGAAAAAGGGAAAAATTAACAAGAGACTGCATTTCAGGACGAATGTATATACATATGTGTGCATACACATACGGTACACATATTTTTATATATCCATATATACGCACACCCCACCATCCCTTGAAGTGATGTCCCATCAGTAACACATTCCTTTCTTCCCCCCCAACGCCTCTTACCACCTCCAATAATGAGACCTAAATTATTCTTCCTTGACACTAGGGTTGCGACTTGAGCCAAGTGAAACTGGTGGCTGGATTTAAGTTTTATACCGACACATGTTTACATCATGTCCAAAGACTGGAGACAGGCTATTAAATACACATACTCCTGCCCATTAAGAGTTATATACGAACTAATATAAAATATTTGTTTTAGTTGGCTACTGCACCGGGGCTCGAGTGGCACACACAGTGCCAGGCTGTGACTTAGCCCTTCAGGAGCTGGAGTTTGTGCGTTAGCAGCTGTTGTCCAGGTAGAAAGGCAGGACAGATTATTCCCCTGCCCCATAAAAGTGCAATAACCTCGTACGTACGGGAAGGTGTGCAAATAAAGGCTACTTTTAAACACAATAGCACCGGTGGAGCTCTGCGGGTGAGGAGCGCTTGCTCTTGCTCCACCAAGTGACACATGTTCAGAGGCGTAGTGGTCAGTGCAGAGATGTGATTAGCAAGTCACTGAGAGGACGATGCTAACTTTTGGGATGTATTTCTTTCCCCCTCTTCTGTATTGTTGGGGTGTTTTTTTTTTCCCCTCAAAAAAAAAAAAAGGAAAGAAAAAAAATATCCCGCAGCAATATTTCCTATTTACAGCTTCTCAAGCGCTTGAAAATTTAATTTTTATTGGCGCGACGTTAATATTTAATTACGCCCGTTCGCCCCCCGAGCGCAGCAGCAGCGGCACGAAGCGGCCCGGCCCCCGCGGCGGCGGAGCCCGTCGGAACGGGACGGGACGGG